CCTGTGAAATTTTTGTGTTCTAGACAACCGAACATAACATTTGAAGCATTCTGGGCTATCATTTTTTTCTTTTTCTCTCTCTTTTTTTCCCTTTTTTTACCTCCCAAAAGGGAGGGGGGCCGGGGCCGGGCCGGCTTCCCCCTAAATCCGCCCCTGGATCATACACAACATCCAAATTTCAAAAGTATTAGTGCTTTTGTAGTGAGAAAATTTGTTCCTAATGATGTCATCACCACAAATTTTCTTCATATAATAGAAAGTTGGTAATTGGATGGTTCGTAGCAAGTATTGGCTTCTCATGGCAATGAGAAAAATCCCTATGTTCTGTTATACAAACAAAGTCTAGTTGTAAATGTCACTGTAGTTTTGTTAATAGTAAATGGCACATTTACAAATTATTAACCATTTTTAATGCGTTGAAATGATTTATCTTGCATTTTTTTAGGCTGACTATTTGAACTTAAAAGGATACAGATATATTACATTTGGTGGCATTTTATTTCTCTGGGAGTTTCTGCCTACGTTTATAGTAGTCATGTTTTTTCGTGTACGAAGATACGCTTCCAGACTGGTAAGGATTTGTTTTTACTATTCTCTGTTTGGATTTATGAGGTGTGAACTCCAAGAATAAGTCTGACTTATTTCCACTTGGGTCTTTCTTGTGGGGGTTAGGCAGTACACAAGGGAAACAATCCGAAGCATGTACTGTTTTCTTTAACATCCATATACTGTGCCATTTTATACATGACACTGTTCAAAACGTCTTCCAAGAAAATAAAATTGTGTGGTTTTTTAATACACTTTTTTAATATATTTATTTCCACTTGGATCCTTCTTGTGGGGGTTAGGCAGTACACAAGGGAAACAATCCAAAGCATGTACTGTTTTCTTTAACATCCATATACTGTGCCATTTTATACATGACCCTGTTCAAAACGTCTTCCAAGAAAATAAAATTGTGTGGTTTTTTTAATACACTTTTTTAATACATTTATTTCCACTTGGATCCTTCTTGTGGGGGTTAGGCAGTACACAAGGGAAACAATCCGAAGCATGTACTGTTTTCTTTAACATCCATATGTGTGCCATTTTATACATGACACTGTTCAAAATGTCTTCCAAGAAAATAAAATTGTGTGGTTTTTTTAATACACCATTTTTATGAAAAACTATATGAGTAGAGGGTGGAATTGAAATGTACCAAAGGTTAACTATATACCTCCTTAGTCCATACTCATGTTGGCTACCATCAATTTAGCTGACCAAGCTATGCTGCTTTTCACATTCAAAGCATACTCAGTGGTGGCTACTATTAGTTCAGTTGTCTGAGCTGTGCTGCTCAGTCGACTGTTATATTTTTAATGATACGCAGTATTCACATATTTTTAAAATAGGATTATGAATATAATTTTTTATCCTGAAATTTCCATTTTTTGTGGCAGAGAGAGCACTAACTGACCAAAATAAAATTTAATTTTTATTCAAAATCAGTATTAATGGAGGTCAGAACGTTTGCTAAACATGGTGTAAAAAAGTCTCACCTAAACTACTGATAACTTAAAAAAATGTGCTATTATGAACTAAAAGTTTTGAACTGACTTATCAGAAACCCTGAAACTATGTTTTCATCAAAATAGGACATCAAATGAACCTCAGACTATTAAAGAAATGTTGGAAGTTAGACAATTAAAACTCTGGAGTATCTGTTAAGCCTCAAATACAAGAATCTGTAAAGTGTCTCTTCGGATTAAAGCCTTCCTCATAGCTCTGCTTAAAACTATTTATTTTGCTAGCAAGATACATTAACTTCAAGGTCAAGTGACTTGCAAGTTTATGTGACTATGTTTAATTATTGAGCTTTAATTTGAAAACCTATTATGACAAGCACCTTAAATTATCACCTTTGACCCCTCGATGATGACAACCAAGGATATCTAGTAATTTTGGCATTTTTCATCATTTCCATTAAATAAAGTTATCTCCATTAATTCAATTAACATATTAAAATAAAGTTTCATAGTCTTACTGTGTGTTTAAATAAATTAAATAAGGTTTTAAAGACTATTTATTTGCATTTATTGCCAGAAGTTATCTTAGCAACTATACATCTTCATTTATAAATAATAAACATATTTGGCAAAGACAAGCCAAACCAGTCACTAGTCGCAAATCGTGTTCAGAGATAATGGCCAAAACATGCTGAAATGTCAAAATTTTTGAAATCTATTTTATTGCACCAAACAAACATTTATATATCTATACATCATGCTATGCTGTTATTTTCCCAATTTTTAAAGTTAAACAATTTTTTGAAGATTTGTTGATAATCTTTGCCTGAGAAATGCCTGAAATCATAAACTTTGAAGGCTGATTTCTCAAATACTGTACTATAAACAACTCTATGTTAAATGCTTATAACTTCATAAGGAAATGTCGGATTTAAAAGATTTTTTTACAATTTTGTACAGTAGCTCTAGCTATTAATAACTAAAAATCGATTTTTGCGACCAGTGACTGGTTTGGCTGGTCTATGCCACATATACTTTCATATTTATTTAATCCTTTAAAACATTTTTTTAAATTTTAATCATCACAAGATTATTTTTATTACCCAAAAGTTATAAATTATTTACGTATGTTATGAAAATTTGGCTGGTACAACGGATAAGTTGAAGAAAAGATTTAGGCCTACAAAGTTGTATAAGCTTCAACAAATATAAAGCCGTGTTCAGACTATCAAATTCTATTTGATAAAACATGTGACATGCCCAAATATGGTCATGATGACATCACATCCCCTCCCCCCGTAGATACGCCACTGAGGGGCCCTCAGGATTTGTGCCATCACTGCCGTACTTGCGGTGAAGCTTCGCGGTGCAAGATTTGTGTGATGTGGCCGCCATCTCATTTTGTTACCATTTTAGCGTGGCAGGCTGAGCATCCCTTTGTTTGTAAGTCGGCTGCGTCGCCATCACAGTATCAAAATAGACTTGAATTTAATCTAACCTTAAACAAATACATTATATTTAATAAGAACAACTGTTCTAAGGAACTTCATGCATGGTGTTTTTCTTTTTTTTTTCCCCTCAGATTTTAATAAGTAAAAGCGGGTCACTAAGACACCCCAGGCTATGTTAGATTACCATATTAATGAATTTTATAAAGAAATAAGAACAGAAGTAATTTTCTAGATTGTCAATTATAAACTCTATAAGGGCCGGGCAGGCACTTTATATGAAACATATCTAGACTTGAAGTATTCATCTATTACAATCACCTTCCTGTTATGAGATGCTGACTTCCCTTCTCTGTTCTAATTTCAAAACCAAGGAAATGAAAATAATTCTCTCTTCATGGTGAAAAAAAAAATTGTAATCTCATGATACACGCTGAGTAAAAATTTTGTAAATTGCGTTGTTAGGTCATTATAAAAAAAAATAATCAGAATATGTTAGTATACTGTACAGACTCACTAATACTGTACTGTAGTAGGCTTAAAGTGAGGCTCCTGAGGAAAAAATTGTTTTGATATGTGTCTTAGATAAACTAATTTATCTAAGACACAAAAAGTACTGAATATTTGATGAAAAACTTGGGAGCATTAAATGAGATGCAGATTTTTGACTATTTAAAAACTGGGGGAAAAGGTAGAAAAAAGGGTGGTTACTTCCCTTTTTTTCCAGTTTTTAAATATTGAAAAATTTGTCTTAGAAAAATCAGATGTACAAAATATTTAAAAAAAAAAAAAAAAAATGTGACAAAACACTATGAAAAAATGTATATCATTAATGATTTACCATAAGTGTAAGAACACAGAGGCAGAAATTGCTTTAAAAATAATAACAAATTGAAGCTGAGTTCAATTGTCAAATGAGGTTATATTTTTTAAAAATGGAAAAACCAGAAAATCTTATCTAAGTAGGTATCTAGGCCCTGTCTTATAAGCGGTAAGTCAGGGCGCTGCTAACTACAGCAATTACATCAGTGCTGGTTCTAGCCGCTCCTCATCACGGACCACGCCCATACGCAATTCAGAACAATGGTGCTGCAATTTATGGGTTATTCACCTACCTTTACCTTTATGTACAGTTGTCATGTAATATCCTCTATAATACAGTAAATAATAATAATACTGTATACTGCTATACAATAATAATATTTTGTCTCTGAAAAGTGTGTAAAATAAGAACATTTTGGGCTTGAAATTGGCAAAAAAAATTAGAACACTTATCCTGGTCAAACTTTTACTGTTTCTTATAAAAAGAAAAAGTGAACTGGGTATCCCTGTATAACTTATTGTTGTGTTTAAATTTCTGAGTGATATCTTTATTTTTGTTTAATATTTCTTACTTTTTGTTGTTTCTTGTACTAAATTTTGCTAAATTGATGAATACATGCTTGATTTTTGACATATACATCAATGTTTAAATTAATTTCTCTTCAGAATGCTCCAGAGGTCAAGAATGTCAACAGGACGCCCTCTAAGGCATACTTCTTTGACAACCCACGACGGTACGATAGTGAAGATGATCTTTGTAGAACATATTCTGCCAATGCAGGACCTACTGAGTAAGTTTAGTTAATGATAAATTCCAGTAACAAAGCAATGAAGGATCCAGGAATTTGAAATAGAAGGAGCCCAGAGAGGGACTTTCACAGATTTAAGGTCTATACTACATTAGCCTCACCATGGGTGGGGCTGAGACAAGAAAATTTATAATTATGGCAACTCTAGATTACTGGAAGGCACTCAAAATTTGAGTAGATTTTTTTTGCAAGNTGCATCTGCCACTGTGGTGAAAGTAGTGTTATGTACTGTAGTATTTCTTTTTCAGAATCGTAATTACTGCATTATATATTAAGATTGGGTCAAAACCTAATTTTCTGAAAAATCTGCGAAAATCTTCCCTTTCCAAAATGCGTGGATGGATTTCTAGGCCAAATTTTTGCCTTACTGTACTCTCTCAGTTTCTTTTATCTCACTACCACACTTAATTACCTCTCATAAATGGTTGTTTTCCTTACCTTTATTGATATCTATCTTTTGTTTAATAGGAAATTCTCTAAATTTAAAATGCATGAGATAATTTGCTATTAAAAAAATGCCAGTGAGTTTTATTGGAAAGTAAAACAAAGTATAATTAACACATTTCAATTTCATCTTTGACCCATTTATTAGTTTTCTGTTAATGATGAAATTTCCAAAAACGAAAGGTCCACTGATTAATCTCAGATAAGGTAGTATAATACATACTCCAAGTATCGAAATGCAAGGTACTCCAAGTATCAAGGTACTGTAGAAATATATTTAGAATGAATGTAATAGGTTAAACAAATCCATTGAAGTTCATTGGAATTCGAAACAAACTAACATTTCTATCTCATCTTGGACCAACTTATTTGTTTTCTGTTAACAATGAAATACTTTATTTAAAGTACTGTAGAAAGCTGAGTATAATAATGCCTACATACAACAGATTTAACATAATCAATTGCTGTACATCCCTGTTGAAGGTCTAAGCACTTTATGCAAGTTCATTTGTCCCTGGCTAATTGCTCTTCATATGCTCTAACATGTAGTACAGTACATCTTTACATGTAGTTATCTCTGTTGATTTAATCAGAGGTACTATACTGGTCCCTGACTTTTGAACACATGATATTTAGATGTCAAAAACATGATCATTTGCTGTTTTATTTAATATAAAATCAAATTGTTAATTATTCAGAAAAATTAAATTTTAAGGGGATATAATAAATGTCAAGGTACAAAGTGAAAACAGATCAGCGTACAGTGGCAAAGTACAGTCAGAAATTTAGCTGGTAAGGTGGCAAGCGGCCAGTTTGCAGTACTTTAAAAACCATTTTTTTTTATTGCTTTAGGTAATTGTATTTGCATGCAAAGCTATGGGATACTTGCCAAAAATATTAAATCATTTATAAAACAGCATCCCTATTGTTCTACAGTATCAGCAGAATAAATCGTACTAAAAAATGATAATATTGTTTATTTTTGTCTAGTTTTAAGTGAATGTCTTAAGTAAATATGTCCGGTAATTTTGGCAAATACAATTTTTTTTTTTATTCTTTGCGTATCATTCTCATTACATTATACTGTTTTGTGTTCAGGTTCCCTTGGAAGAACAATCTTAAAGATGAACAGGCTTTATATTATGTTGTATTCAGGGGTGGCACCGGTGGGGGGTGGGGAGAGCTGTTCCCCGTCAGGGAAAATAGCCATGGTTCGTCGGGGAGAAAAAATAAAATGTATTTTCTACAAATTAATTATTACTAGACCCTAAAATCGATTGAATAAGCCTTTGAAACCCCTAAATTGTCATTTGTTCCCCAGAACACATTTGAGATATTTTGAACGACACCCGACCACGCCCACTTTTTTTCGTCTGGGACATGGGCCCCCTGTCGGGGACATCAGACCTCCCATCAGGCAAATCCTGGCGCCACCTCTGGTTGTATTAAAGTTGATCACTTTATTTTTTGTGTGTTATGCCAAATAAACAACTATAAATTGAGCATATTCGTCTTCTCTAGCATTCTGGTTTGGGCATCTGTCTTCTTTTTGACTAGCGAATAAAAAATGAAATTTGCCAACACTCTCTTAAGAGAAGCATACAGTGCATAATAAGGTACAGCCTAAACAACTAGGAATAGGGAAAGGACCATGAAAGCAGTGGCATATCCAAGGGGGCGTGGGGGGCGCACGCCCCCCCCCCCACGAAAAGCTTGCGCGCCACCCATTCGAAAACTTCGAAGCAAAAAAAATTAGGCTAGGCTTATGCTTATGCTGTCACGGTTAACGTGTATTCGGGAATCTAAGAAGCAATATTTTTCTGTGGGCGTGGCCACCGAAAATAAATTCCACGCCCCCTCATATTTTGGTCGCGCCCCTCACCAGCCCCCCATTTTAATACTGCTAGATACGCCACTGCATGAAACGGTCTGCTAATTTCCTATTGATTGCAGAATTTAATGTCACAAATTTAGGCAATATCCCTGCATTGCTAATGAACTGCAAGAGAGTGGAAAGTAATGCTCCCATTTCCTCCCTCCCCCCCCCCCTTACAAGAATTTAATTCTACCGAACAATTCAACTCATCCCAAAAATGTTTCAAATAATCATTCATTTTAATTCCTAGTGATGATCCAAGAGTATTCAAAAATCTGGATTAAATACACAATAAAAAATATAACTAGACAATAATATTAATATTAGTGAGCTTTGTATTATCTATGTCCATATCATTTCTTTTGCATTTTAAATAAAAAATGTTTTTCATTATACAGCTTTACCCCCGATATGAATTCACCTTGTACGCCGATTAATGGAACACCGCAGTTGGGCTACGGGACAATCATTCGCAGTAGCAGTTACTCATCAGGGGGCCAGTACATCATGCCCGGAACAACCCCGCCACTTCTTTTTTCCTCAAAAGTCTCAATCGGGGGTTACCAGCAGATTTATGACTAAGGAGGGAGATGTAAACCAATCAAGTTGTTTCTTTGATAGTGTAAGCAGACAGGTGAAAACATTAATCAACCAATCAGTTTATTTAATACGGATAACCTGTGATCAGGCAAATCATGTAGGTACAGTACAAAAGATCATAATATTTTTTTTTCAATATTTTTCAAATACAAAAAAAAAAACCAAATCAGATCTGTCAATGTATTTTGTGTAAATCCAGAACATATTCACTCCTAAATGTTTTGCATAATACATTTTTAGAAACATATTTGTAGAAACAGAAAATGTGCTTTTGAATAAATCTTTGTGAAATAATAGCAGGTATTGTTACTTACTGAAATTGTGTGGAGCATGTCGTAATGACATACCACCGAACTTGTGAGACACAGGTGGAATTGATATCCATACATTACTAGGTTGCCCTTCAACCGTGCTTGATTATTACTCAGATGGTACAGTCATTTATGATATATTAATGAGCTAATTGATAATTGGAGTCATTAAAACAACATATTTTCCAATATACACAAACCAATAGTATGTTTGCCATACGAAAAAAAACTATATAGGTTACAAATGTATACATCATGTATATGAAAATCATAGGTAATTCCATTGTCAGAGAAATAACATTGTGACCAATATACCATACCCTTGGTGATTTTTTTCGTTATGACTAATTCATTGCCATTATATATCATAGGTGACTTGTTTCATATGACAATCATAGGTGAGTTTTTTTATCAGTGAAATCTCTTGTGACAAATTTTGTCATAGAAATGATAGTTGACACATTTTCTATATGGTAATCTTAGGTTTGCCATATGTAAATCATAGGTGACGAGTTTGTCATATAAAAATCATAAGTGACCTGCCATTTACTATAGGCAAATTCCTACAGTAGTTATATACTATATATGGAATTCATAATATAACTTATTATCCTCCTTCTGCTTTGGGTGAGTTCTTGGCCATGATGAATGTTTACAGAAGATACTCTTCCATATGAAAATTGTGACATCTTTAACATATTTTAATGAAATCGTACAGTAGGTGATTAATTTGTCATGCAAGATTTTTACCATTTGATTTATCTCCCAAATGAAAAGCAAGTTCATAGACATATGGCACCATAGTAATTTGCCATTTATAACATAGATGACTATTTCCCATAAAAATCATAGGTGACAAGTTGGCTATATATTATACAAGTTCTTGGGTATATGAAATTCATTAAGTGATATGATTTTTTCATATATACAGTAGCCTAGATATGATTTATATAATTTGATCATTAGTACTGTATAACATCTGACACAATCACAAATATCAGCTTAAAAACCAGCTCATCAGTATTATTTGTCAATGGGGGATTAATAAGCATATTCATTTATTTAGGGGAAAATAAACTTTGTAAGGAGTTTACCTTATTTGTCTTTGAAAGAAATGAAGAGAAGATGGGTACATGAAAATAAAAACAAAATTGTATTAGACAAATAAGCATGGCATTCTCTTTTGTAGACCTACTACTATATTTACAATTTATAGGAAACCAACTTAGGGAAAAGAATGGAAAATGCTGGTTGTTTTTCATGTTCAAATGTTATGAAAAGAAAATGATATAAATGAATATTACTAGATTTATGAATTGAGGCCTGCTAAAATACATCTAGATAGTAGAGTAACAATATAAGTTTATGTGGCACAATAATGAACAATTGGAGCATGCATACTGTAGCTGTATATTTAATATGGAGTGAATCCTTGGATGGATGTTTTATTTTTTGATTGCACATCATATCCTGACCTCTTGCCTTCTCAAATTGTTTTCTGACCTAGTGCCACAGTCTGAGTTTGAGTAAACATGAATGTGGTTGTGTTAACTGTCCATGAAAGAAAAGTGACTGTCTACTGTATGCAAAGTTTTTTCAGGATTGATCAAGGTGGCCAATGAGAATTGGAGTACTCATCAGGGTGGCTAGTACTTTCAAAATGAAAGTGTGTGAATATATGAATATTCATGAAGGTGTTTAATATATGAATATTCATGAAGGTGTTTGTGAACTATTGAGTAACTACTGTACATGATTGTTTGTGTGAACTAGGTGGCTGTCTATGCAATTTTTTTTAGAATGGATGAAGTTGGCTGATATGAACTATTTGAGTATTTATCAAGGTGGTTATTAACATGAATGTTTGTGAAATATGAATATTCATGAGGTTGGCTGTCTATGAAATATTATAAGTTATGAATGTGGGTACATATGACTATTCATTAATGTGACTATCGGAAATAATTTGAATATGTATCAGAATGCTAGCGTGAACTATTGATTATATGAATATGGCTGTCCATGAAGTATTAGAATACTATACATGTAACTATGAATATGGGTCCATGTGAATATCCATTAATCTGGCTGTCGGAACTGTATCAGAGTGCTGGTGTGAACTATTGATAGGCCAATTTGTAGTTTGAATTGCGCGTGCCCGTATCCAAGGTCAATCGACATAAACCTATGCTGTGTGTTTGGCTATGTTTAGACTTGGAGATAAGCCAGACTTGAGTTAAGCCTGGCTCAACGTTAAGCCCGGCTTAACTTTGCTGGGCGTTCAGACTACGGGATTAGCCAGGTGCGAGAATTTGCATACTAATAAACCATAACCAGGAAACATGTTTCAAAACGTTGCTCGCAAAACGTACGCTCGCTCACAGCGTACGTAATTGAATGCTGATTGGTCATTTTGTTACCCGAAGTCAATGCAAGACCCCTCTGCAACGATTAAAGCCCGGTTTAGAAAAGTTAAACACGGTGACAAGCCAGGCCTAGTTATTGGAACACAGCCTGGCTTGAGATAAGCCACCTAGTTCAGACTGGCAGGTGGATAAACCCAGTGAGTTGAGCCGGGCTTATCCACCTAGTCCGAACTAGGCCTTTGTGTCACTGATCAGTGGTTTGCATAAATCAATTGACCTTGATACGGGCATGCACAGTTCGAATTATGAATTGGCTTAAATGTGATTAATATGCATGATGAAATAATGAATATTCAATAAGTGTTTAATCAATGGAAAAAGAGTTTCACTGCAGTGTGCATATTGTACATTTATTTGTAATATGAGGCATGTTGTGGCAAAATGGCCAAGTTGTAGCAAAAATTGAAATTCAAGTTATTGGTATTTTCAGATACCTGAGTATGTGGTCTTTAAAATGAGGGGTCATTCATTCTAGAGTCAAGATAAACATGATTTTGAGTAATTGCCTTTCAATGTTATTCGTGCATACATAATAGAATGAACTATCAAAACAACATTAAATAAACAATTTGTTAACCACTTCCAGAACTAATACTTTGGGACATGATTAATAAGACATTAAACTGTTGATCTATAGTGAAAAACAAATTTGGATTTTTAGGCAATTTTTTGAGCTCCCATATTTTATAGCTCATTTACTCTATACTGGACTGTGCGACAACTTAACCATTTCGCCACAACATGCCTCATATTTGAAATGAATAATAGAATTATATTTATTTAAGACTGGAAGAAAGTGAGGCTAGGTGTCCGAGTGCATTAAGTAGGCTAGTCTTTGGTATGCGTATTAACCGAGTGCATTAGGTTAGCTTGGCCTTGGTATGTGCAGTAGCTGGGTGCATTAAGCTAGGCGAGGCTAATTGTTATAGTTTGGTGAGAAGACACATCTGGAATGTTGGAATGGTGGAGTGTGGATGAGGTTGAAATGTTCAGTGATTGAATGAAGGGTTCATATATTATGTCCACTGTACTGTACCTTAATTTTTGGAGATACTATGAATGTACTTTTTTATTAACATTGTCATTTTTATCATAATCATCATCATTTTTATCATTATGATCTTTTAACGTCATCATTCTCATTCTCATCTTCATCATCATCATTATGATCATTAACTTCATCATCATTGTCATCAGAATCATATTTTTATGATCGTCATCACCACCACCAATCAAATCATATTATCATCTTACAATTTCAGCATCATCTTATTCATCCGCATGAGCATCTATATCATCATCATCATCATCATCGTCAGCATCATTATCAATATCAGTATCATAATCATCATATCATCTAATTTATCACCACCAGTAGTATTAAATTGTTTTACTGTATTTTTTATTTGTATTTATAATAATAATTGTGTTAAATTATGTCCTGAACTATAGTATAAATTTCTATGTTACTATGCTGGTCATCTAAAGAAAGTCTAGATTTGTGTCTTTGTTTATCTTGGAATTGTATGCGATATTGGATGAAAACAAATTTTCATGAATAAAATAGTGATTTGGTAGGTAGGTACCATATTGGTACTGTTTCTGGTAATTTAAATAATTATACAAATAATAATATTCATTGGTGGGAACCACTCACTATTAAAACTTCATACAATTATTTTAAACATGCAATTGTGACTACTACAGTTGGTTTGGTATTGAACTTAATGTGGACTATGTTACTAATATAATTAATATCAATTACATTGTCCTTATATTTGTTAATTTAACATCTAATAAATTTAATAGTCATTTTCTTTCATAATAATTTCATAATAAATTTAGAATGCATTTGTATCATATAATTTTGTTGATATAAGGTGAGTCTTGCTTTAGAATTTTGTGTTTAAACATTATGAGAAGTAGATGATTCCAGGTGTTTTTTTATAAGTTTCTACTCGGTGTATGTTTCATTTAGCACAATTGACTTTAGCTTTACAGGGGAAATTAAGGTTTCCTTTTAACACACCATGGGTTACCATGTATGAAAGAAAATGTATATTTGTATAGAGAATTTGAGAAACCACATTCATAAAATGATACAAATATATATCAGCATTTAATTAAAATCACTTTTGTTTTTGTTTAATTAACCTTTTTATTGATGAATATTTACAGTATGTTGTCATTTTTGTTTATACTTCTTTAGTTAATAGTGTGTTTTTGATTATAATTTTATGTTATAATTGTTCCACTATTGTCTGTAGTATTGATACTCTTCAAAAGCAATATTCTCAGCTTTTACCTAATTTATATTTATTTCATTTTTAATAACTTGTTTAAATTAGTTACTTAATTTTTTAAGAATTTGTTCAAACCAGATTTTTTTCATTAATCATTTCTTTTTAATGATTAATCATTACATTACCATAAGAATATTAAATCACATTTTGTTGTCAAGGTTACTGTACATGTTATGTATTAATCATGATGATAAACAACGTGTTGTAATGATTAAATGTCAGAGTGCTATTTTAGGTTGTCATGGGTATTATAACAAATCATGTTGTCATGGCTACTGTTACTGTAGCCATGTTAAGTTTCCATGGTTACCTTAAGAAACCATCCATTGAATTTAGCCAGCATAATTGCAGGTAAACTGTAAAACTCATTTACTTAACAGGTATATCCTATGCATCTTTAGTAATTAAGTGTGTACCCAACATTACTAATATTACAAAATACTGTATTACATTATTGCTATATGTTAAATATTTGATACATATTTTTATAAATATATGAAGAAATAGCATCTGATGTCATTGCAACATAATACTGCAGTATATGATATTACCTTCTCCCAATTTTAGAATCTCTCCTAGAAATCAGATTTAATGAGTTATTTGAATGTTGCTGTCTATGCCAGCAAACTTGAGGGAGATGGTTTTACACAGTGATCCCAAGGGATCAGCAACTGCTCACTGGTATTTCGGAGATGGTGCCAACTTCTGGATAGGAGACTAGGAACCCCTGCTACAACAATCTCATGATTCCAATAACAATATAATAATATGAAAACCTGTAATTTATATTTATACCGCATTCTATAGAAATGTTTCTTACAGTAAACCAGAATGACTTAATTGATAATTCTCAAAAGTATTAGTCGTATGTGTTCACACTGTGATTTGAAAGAGGCGTCATTCAGTGGCTTATCTAAAAGTCTTGAAATGGAGGTGCTTATGGGGGGGCCCACAAAGGTGATCAGTTCAGGAGCGCTAACTCGCTAAATAAGGTGATTTTAACTACAGTACTTGCAAATGATTTTTTTTTGGGGGGTGCGATTTGGGGGAGCGAGTAATTTTTTTGAAGGGGGTGCGCAGCCCCCTAAATATGGCACTGGCTACATTTATCCCTTTAAAAATGAAACCGCCCTATGATTGGTTGCTTGAAATAGTGTGAACATTTGGACTTTCACTGGAGGAATTCTTTTTAGTACCAGTACTATTAGATATGTAAAATACTATACTGTCGAATGTTACGTTACTTTTGTTAATTATGCTCTTATGTTTATAGTGTGACATTTATTCAAGAAAAGAAACGTCACAATTTGCTGTTTATTGTTGTCATGCTTTTTGGTAATGTCAAATATTTTTTGTGAATTATTTATCAATTAATTTAACACTTAGGTTGATAGAGTAGATCATCTGTTTTGTACTAATTATTTTATATTGTGTGCTGTTTCTTCATCATCAGTATCCCTTTATGATTTCTTGAAAATAAATTTATGATGAGCAAAATATGTACAGCATTTTCGTTTTTGTGATGGTTTGCTTAGTTTTTGGTAAACTGTGACAATATTTATTACCAGCATTTTGGGATCTATCTAAGGTCTCGGCATTTTGTATCAAGTGTAAGAGTTCGTGCTGTATCTACATTATACGGCCCTGGTTCTTAAATAATTTATTTGAAGGGCCACGATAATCTCCGGGCCAAAGATAATCTCCGGGTTGCAAGCAACTTGTTATACTTTATGTACCCAAGGTGAAATCCTTCTGATGGGTCTTGCCCCAGCAAATGGCACCACCACTTGCTTTCAATCCTCTCAAAATTATAATTTGTGGGAACTACAGTAACTGTAGCATGATAATTGGTAAAGTGCCACATTCGAAGCATCAGCAGAATTTGCATAGGCCTAGGAGGCTTTACAGATTTGAATTTAAAAAATAAAGCATATTTTCATTTTGCATTAGGTTATTTGCATGCCCGTAGGTAGGATTTTGATTTGGATGATTATGCTAAGGCTGCTAAGGGCCCCTTTCTGGTTCCAGAGGCCCGAGTGGCTTCGACAAAGTAGCATTTTGCAGCCATATTTAATGGATTTCCCATAAAACCCATAATTCGTAATATCTTATATTTTAATTTCCATTAATTTTGTTGTTAGGCCCTGGTATTCAAGCTACCGTATGGGTTGCAACCCAAGTTAGAGTGGCCAAGATACTTTACACGGGGAGCTGACATTTATTGTTTATCATTGATTGGTATTACAATTTGTCATGTCTTCCTTCTTTGTAAAAGTTCATTATGTAATGTATTGTTTCTATGGGCTTTCCCCCCCCCCCCCCACAAAGTGAAACTAGATATTTTTCTTCCATCATATTATATTCACCTTGATTCTTATACTTCCTTCTCATGGATGACCTCCACATTTAGTTCTACGCCAAGTAGACTAACCTGCTCGGGTCCATACATCGACAACTCTAACTTTCTTTTGGCACAGGCAATTGGGTAGGACCAGGAACCTCATAATCATAATAAAACCAAGACTGACGTTTATATTTTGAATCTGCTATGTCATACTGTATTTAGCTGAATTAAGAGTACCGATCTTTTGGCGTTTGTCGATTAGTGGTAACGGATTTGATTCTAGATTTGGGTGGGGGTCACCCCTACTTCACATTGACCCAGTGTTGTGTTTTGGTCTTCACTTTATTGAAAAAAAAAAATTATTGAATGATTTACTTTTAGTTTCTTTAAAAAATTTTTTAAATAATTTTATTATTTCACGTGGGCCAGAATAATTTACTTCGTGGGCCAGGCGTATACACTTTTGTTTTATAGGCCACTTTGAAATATAGAAATTGCATTCAATTCAATTTGTTATTAAACATCCTTATTCATATCCTGCAGAATAAAAAAACATTAGGTAACAATAGTTAAATTTCCAGCTGTCCATCAATAGCTTCCATAGTATGACATCACCCATCGTATGATTCTAGCTATTCTATTCCCAAAGTGATAGTTAAACTGTCGTGGGAAGAAGCCATCTAATACATGAAGATATATATCCATGTTGCTTTTATTATATATTTTTCACACACCCTACAGAAAAATTAATCAGAAATATATTGATCACAAATTGGTTTAATGATTTATTACGGATTTTGAGAAAAACGTAGTGTGCTGCAGCTATCTGCAATATGGAACTTTATTGATTATATTTTCATTGAGATGTGGATGTGCTTCTCAATTTTATTGCAATATGATACATGACCATTCACACAACATAGTAGAAATGAAATTTGGGTTATTAATACGGTAAACTAAAACAATACCTAAGATTTATATGGAATTCATAGGGTTGGCAGGGAGGTGGGGGGGGGGTCTTGGAACTAAAGAAGAACTGCATTGATCCACGAGAATATAGTACAGACCTGTACAGATCACACTTTCAAGAACCTAAAAACCAGCCTAAATGATCCAGAATCAAAATGAACATTCCTATCCAACTCACCTGTTAGAGAATCAATCACCATCAAATGTATATTACAAGGGATTGTAGAAAATTTAAATGCATGACAAATTTCATCATGTAAAAGGTGTGGGTGGCATAGGCAGATTCAAGGTAAGACAATGTTTTTTTAAATAGGAGAAATAAAGGAAAATTACATTCAAATTCAAGTCTGAAATTGCGTATTTCCTGCCATCTAGGAGAGCCATAGACATAATATTTCAGCCCCAACCATGGTGGGTATGAGGTAGGCTGGACCCTCCATCAGACTGTGAAAGTGCTATATCCGGGACCCAGTGTATTTATAATATATATAATTCCTGGTTTGGGAGGGAACAACCAGAATTAAAAAAAAGATCAGTTTAGTCCTGTTTGTTCAGTTGTTACAAGGAATATTTTTTCATTTGTTCTCACTCAAGACTGTAAGTCAGTACTTGGTATGATTCAGCTTCCAACATTATGAATATTCCCCAGGGAATTTGATAAGTATTCATTTCAGTAACCATTTTAAGCCAACACCACAGTGACAGCAACAACCACAAAAAAGCTTTAGTATTTTTACTAACCACTGCTTGAGGCAGGCAATGCACTTTGCCTTGTCTCGAATTCCTTTTGAATTATTTAATTTTTACCCCTGAATACAGATTTTAGCAGCCGAGTGTTCCCAGTGGCCTATCTAGATGTCTTGAAGTGGAGAAGTTGTGGGGGGGGGGGGCGGCTCAATGCTCAGGTTAAGCTAATTTTCCACTAGGAAAATTTATTTGCGTGAATCGAAAGCGTCGTTCATGCGCATTCACATTTCTGTCAGGGGTTTCGCTTCAGTGAAATTGATAGTTTGAACAGTTTCTACTTTTTTGCGAAGCGAAAAAAATACTCAGCCAGTCAGAGCTCAGGGACCTAAACGACGCCTTTGATTCGCCTATTGGAAAACAGGCTTTAGAGGGCACTAACTCGCAAAATAAGGTGATTTTTTTGTGCTTTTTAACAACTTTAACCTAGTGCCTGCATCACCCTGCCTACGGCCTTAATAACTCAATATTTTCCTGTGTAGAGCTGTTAGGTTCTATACTGCTTTCTGAAATGTTATCATACACTTCATTTAATCTGTCTTCATACAAAGTTTTTTTTTGGTGCAGACAAGATGAATCCTTCAACAAACTATGTGACTTGCTAAAAACAGCCAACATTATGAATATTCCCCAGGGAATTTGATAAGTATTCATTTCAGTAACCATTTTAAGCCAACACCATAGTGACAGCAACAACCACAAAAAAGCTTTAGTATTTTTACTAACCACTGCTTGAGGCAGGCAATGCACTTTGCCTTGTCTCGAATTCCTTTTGAATTATTTAATTTTTACCCCTGAATACAGATTTTAGCAGCCGAGTGTTCCCAGTGGCCTATCTAGATGTCTTGAAGTGGAGAAGTTGTGGGGGGGGGGGGCGGCTCGATGCTCAGGTTAAGCTAATTTTCCACTAGGAAAATTTATTTGCGTGAATCGAAAGCGTCGTTCATGCGCATTCACATTTCTGTCAGGGGTTTCGCTTCAGTGAAATTGATAGTTTGAACAGTTTCTACTTTTTTGCGAAGCGAAAAAAATACTCAGCCAGTCAGAGCTCAGGGACCTAAACGACGCCTTTGATTCGCCTAGTGGAAAACAAGCTTTAGAGGGCACTAACTCGCAAAATAAGGTGGATTTTTGTGCTTTTTAACAACTTTAACCTAGTGCCTGCATCACCCCGCCTACGACCTTAATAACTCAATATTTTCCTGTGTAGAGCTGTTAAGTTCTATACTGCATTCTGAAATGTTATCATACACTTCATTTAATCTGTCTTCATACAAAGTTTTTTTTTTGGTGCAGACAAGATTAATCCTTCAACAAACTATGTGACTTGCTAAAAACAGCCGCTCTGGTTGTTTTCAATTTCTATTAACAAAAAAAAAACATATGTCTGCAATATACAGTAATAAGGATATTCAGAATTGAAATAATATTTATCACAATTTTAACTCTAACAATAATTAGAGATAACTTTTTTCGGGAAAAAAATGTCAAATTCAATTATGGCAAAAGCTTTGTAATATCATTACAAGAGACAGTAGGCCTACTAGTATGTAAGCAAGGCATATCAATTGGACTCCTAATACTTTATACTTTAAGTTTTATTATTGCACTTATAGATGTTGCTTTTATCAGGTAATACATAATTATTCAAAGAATGTCTCAATGTTTTAATAACATCAAACCCCAGGGTCTTATGTCAAGTTTTCCTCCCCTAGAGTGGTTTTCTTATAAACTGATCAGCTCATAATGCTGGTTCCAGTCCATCAGAGTAAATGATATGCGTGTAGACTACAGATGTAAATATAATTTATGGTAACTGTTCACTCCCTGTTTGATGTGAATGAAGAAAAAAATACAATATATCGCTTAAAAATATTATAAATATGTTTTAGATTGTTTTTACAGCTTAAAGGAACATCAGTTCTCGAACTTTTTGGCAGACAACCCAAACAAATGTTCAGGTAATTTGCTGTGACCCACGTCCTAGGACAATAAAAAACAGATACTCAAAATTTGTTATTAACTGGTAATCAAAATTGAGAAATGTTTAAATGTCACTTAAAAATTTGAGCGGAATATATAAAATTCAATTTTAACAAAATCCTTAAATCTTGCAAACCTATAAAAATATTTGGCGACCCACTGTTTGAGAGGCAATGCACTAGAATGTTAACTTCATAGTTATGGAATGTTATTAGTGGTGGCATTTGGTGGCGATGAAAGGTTTTTGGCATAGACCTTGATGACTGATGAAGCAATAACATGGGTGCCTGGTTGAATAGATTTCATTTTAATATGGTGTAAGCCTGTGCTAAATTTCGACTGGTTAAATAGCATAATGACTATGGGCAACAGGTTCCGCGAACAAGTCATACTGCATGGGGATGTAGCCTAGTTTTTAAGATGCCAACACTCTAATCCCAGAACGCAAGGTTTTCTTTCTCCACACCAATCCATGGCATACCTAGGTCGTGCACGGGTGCCCACGCTTCCAAAAAATACTCATGCCCCAGTGGTCGCCACCAAAAAATCACACTCAAATAGTTAAAAAATCACCTTATTTTAAGAGCTAATGCCGTTTTCACCTAATCATCGAGCCCCCTCCAATTCACCTTCGCACCCCCTAATCAGCACCCCCACCCCAATTTAAAGATTCCTAGCTATGCCACTGACACCAATCACTCAATGAATCAACAATATAAGCCACCTGTTTGCGCCTGTCAAAAAACAACTCCACTATCATAGAGCATATGGTTCAACCTTTTGCATGTTTACAAATAAAAAAGAGAAAAAAAACAGTACTAGAGGTTTTATTGAGTGTTTTGTTGTTTTGTGAATACTATAAATATGTATAGATTTTTTTTACTGTTCTAATGGAACAGCAGTTCTTGTATAAGAGAAAACAAAAACAGTACTAGAGGTTTTGTTAAGTCTTGTTTTATGATTCTTCATTGCTTTAAAAGCAGATATATCTGACTTTTAATGAATAACAAAAATGTGATGATCCTCAAAATGATTGAGTTCCACTCAATTGTAAGTCATTAAAAATGAATATTACAAATTAATACATGATGTTAGATATCATTGATTCATGGCAGACTAGTGGTAAGAATATTGCACAGAATAAGCCATCTTGTAGTTTCAAATGCACCTATGTCAAAGTTCAAGGCATATAAAGAAGCAAATCACATAGCAACATAGTCTGCATTTTAAAGTTATATTAATTTTAGGAGATTAGTTACTACTACCATAAATATTAGCAGCTATTAAGTAATGTCTTATAAATATGAAGATGATAGTATAAGTTGTATTTTATAAGCCTTGAACTTTGACATTTACATGAGCACTTGGAACAAGATGGCTTATTAAATTATAAGTTGCATAAGTAATATAATCCATAACCACCTAGTGGATGGTTACCGCTTATTTGAGCAAAGATTTGATTGACCAATCACTAGCAACTTTCCTACTTCAAGTAGAGCCTCCTCTGGGTCGCCCTTATTAAGGGAACACTATTTAAGCAGTGAAGTGAGGGGAAATATATCTATTAAACCCTTATTTAAGGGACACATTTTAATCCCAAACGTGTCCCCTTAACTTTTATTTTAATGAATCATGTGCCACTAATTGTATATGAAGTGAATGTGATTTATTCTGCTAAAGCATTGCATGTTTCAAATAGGCTGATAGCTCTTGTATACAGACTGTGATTTTCTGGTAATAGTCCTACCACTTTCCCTATTAACTGCACTGTGTCTGCTAAGGGAACATTGCGACATTTCAATAAACTTGAATCCTGAAATTTAAAAAAATTATACACATAACTTAAAATGGCAAAACCTACATTTTCATAATTCTGAATTAATCCTGATTGAAAATACAAACATTCAACACTCCCGCAAGTAAGAATCTCTATATGAAATTAAACCATCTTCGCAAATTTATAACATCTGCGTGTTTTTACTATTTATTATCAATTGTCTCACAAAAGTCAGTGCCAATGGTTATCACCATGTGCAGTAAAATAAAATCAAATATGTTAAGGGAGCTCATTTTAAACAGATCTCCTGGAAGGGATTTTTTTTCCAACTTGGGGCCCCTGTATACATATGTACACACATACCCATCTCATTTATCTCATACGGACACATACGTCTGCTATAACAATAGAAATATAAATGATTAATATAAATAATTTTGATAAACTTCCCATCCATTTAAAAAAAAATCAATTAAAGATACGGAAAAAGTTATGCCTGAAAACATTCCACTTCTGAAAAAATATACAAAATATGGGAAAATTTGTATTAAGAAAACATGGCTTTATGTGCAGTAAAACAAATGTGCTACACATTACATTTATTCAACTTACCTTAGTTTTTATCCAACTCATTAGATTTGCTGGAACTGACGTCAGCTTTTCCACACTTACTTCATTTGCTTGATCAATCGTAATATAGTGAAGTCGCTGACCCACGACCTCCATCAGCTGGGTTGCGAACTCAGTTTGTTCACTTACAGTTGTTAAAACCTACATGTAAAAATTAAATTTTTAAAAATTCAATATGTTAAGGTTTGAAAAGCAGTTATACAGGTTCTTAAGGAGGAGATTTTCCCTAAGCTGTGAGGGTCTAACAGGAGTCTAAAAAAGTAAAACAGGGGTACAAGATTAATAGTAAATGTGTAGTCATAATTGGTGAATATATTTGCTGTTAAAATAAATAAACTGTTGATATTGTGTTCTATTTTTTTTCAACTACAACATTTTCCACAGGATGAATATCACTACTACACAATAACAAGAATAACAAGTATTCCATACAAAAATTACAAGCATTTTAAAAATCAATATGCCTTTAGCAAATTATATCAAAAAATGACAGTCAAGTGGTATGATTATGTGTGTATTAAAATGACAAACTTGTTTGTATGTTGTGTGAATATAGTGAAAGAGAGCAGATCATATTAAAACTGAGTATTAGGAAAGGTAACCAAGGCAATTAAATTTAGGTCTTGCACGCAACATGAAAACTTGGTAATTTAATGTAAGGAAATCGTCTAATAAACATGTAAGCACTTGTAAAAAAAGAAAGTATTGAGGAAAACATGATGTGATTCAAAGCAGATAGGCCTTTGTAACTATTTACTGCTGGGATGAGAAATTACCACCCAAGACTTGCCAACATAATTAATGGCTGGTTCACACTTAAATAGAGTATCCTGCTAGGTATGGATAAATTAAGCTCTTCATAATTTGCTTTTCGATTTTGTAGTATATGTTGTAGTCTTTTGCAAAATAGTGAGAAATTTTGCAAATTGAACGACATGGTAAAGGAATTTTATAGAATGTGTTCCAATAATTTATAATTTTAAAAGTAACAGCAATTTATTAAAGTCTGTGTTATAGCTATAAGAGTTGAACAAATTATAATCAATATTGGAATTGCTTGGTGTAATTATTTATATTTCTATTTGTTATAATTGCTTAAATATTTTCCAAAATTTTCTATTTTCAATTTTATATCAATATATTGAATGTTTCTGACTTTAAATGTTCATTTTTCTATCATTAAAAAGGGAGGGTGGGGATGACGGAAGCTATGTTTTCAGGGAAAGGGTTGGGGTTCTCTTTTATATTGTGAGGTCCAGAATTGTGTAGCCATGTTAGTTTCTTATCTAAATGACTTCACATTTTGTGTATTTATTTATTCTTTCTTTTGACTGGATACATTTTCAATAAAAAAGTACTGATTTCCCAAATTGTTCGGTTATTTTTTTAACAAGGTTAAGAATAGAAAGTTAATTGAAATTATAACTATTATAAAATCATTAGATTGTTAAAATATTTTTTGGCTGCTGCCAAGTGGTGGAGTGCTACTGGTTACAAGATTACTATGCCCCCACTGGATCCCTGTTGGTACCACCACTGTTACTGTGGGCTCATTTTTAATCATTACATGAACATGTGGGACTCAAAGACTAACCTCTTCAGCTTGTGTATCATAGCCACAGCTGTACAACTGTAATGAATGGAGTCGTTTAATCATATCCACATCAACATTCCAGATAAGAGCTAGCTGTTGAGCAACTGCTGGCCAGATGCTAGCTGGTCCACATTTCCTGAATCGGATCATGAACGACGCTGAGGGAGACACAGGAATGACCTCTGGGGTTGATGCTGTAGAGTCTTCTTCATGGTTTGGTGTTACATCATTAAATGATGAAACAATGAGTTTATTCAGAAACTAAAAGAACAGAAATGTAGAGCATTGCTTTTAGGTTATGATAAAAATATTGCAGTTCAGCACTTTCCATCAAAAACCCACATGCTATCAGGTTTTTGTTTGTAAGGCTCAACAAAAAGCAAGAATTCCTGGAAGGGTGAGAAATGTTAGGTGCCTATTTTCTCAATATTTCCAAATGTTTTGACATAATTAATAATTTCGTTTTTAATAAACTCATACTATGAATAACAGGCTTCGGATATAAATTTTTTAATTTTAAAAATATTTTTGTACAGCAACAAAGTTATATTAATTAATATGGGCTTGCTTTTTAAGTGGAAATTACAAGTATTTTAAATTAATGTTAGTTAATTAATATCAAATATTAATGCACAGAATAAACTACCTCTTGTCTTTTCTCCATTAATGCTAAACTGAAATTTTGTTCTGGCGTTTGTGGCACACCACTTAGTTCCTTAAACAACGTGCTCTTGGTTGGTGCATCAAAATACTGCAGTGGTTTCACAGATTTCATAGTAAATTTCATGATTGCATGCATTACTGTGCATAGCTGTTTGTGAAGCGAAACAAGTTGTTGATTGGGCGGTTGTTGGTAGCTCGCAAGAAGCATCAGTGGCGTGGAACCTTGAATTACTTGCCAGAGATCTTCAATTCGGAACACTGGAGGTTTTGTGGACTCTCCTTCGACCTAACATAAAAAATTGTAAATTTAAGCATTTTATATTTTACATATTTTTATATTTATTCAGACATAAAATTCCCTGAGACCACAAAGCAACAAGGTCCCATCCAATAAAGGCGTCAATGCTGAACAAGCCAGGAAGCGGCTATATACAGGGCCGTGGAGTTTAGCTAATATATCTGCCTACTGTACAAAAAAATTCAATTAAAATTGGTCAAAAGTTTTATGAGGCAAAAATACAAATGGTACAATTATTATTATTATAAAAATATTATATATAAAGCATTGAGTTTTATTTAAATAATTTACAAAGAATAGTTAAAGAGTAATATTGGAATTAACAACATAATTTTTGATCTCATAAAGTTGTTAAAAGAAATAATTTTGGATGTCTGAGAGTAAATTACTCAGAGTTTTCATCAACATTTTTTTAAGAAGAAAGACACGTACAACCTTGAACTTCAAACAGTTGAAAGCGAAGCGTCCGGCACATTAATGCACTGTACATGGATGTAGTCTGTCATTACCTATAAAACACGATGACTTACCAACTGAATGACCTCAAACAGATCACACGCTGACCCCATGAACTTCTGTAGTGTAACATCACTTAACCCCACTTCCTATGTGACAATAATAAGACATTTGGAAGGTCAGTGGGGGAGGGGGAAATGACCAAAACATGCATTGATGCTAATCTAATTAAGAAAAATATTTATTAAAGAAATATTAACTAAAAAACTATTATTATTATATTTTATTATATAAAAGTTGAATCTACAAAAACATAGTAGAATTAAATTTCTTTTTTTGTTGTGCAAACCTTGCGAAAATAACAATTATTTAGAATAAATATATTTGCCATGAAATCTATTTTAATTTTCTACTATACTTTTTTTGCATCAAACACTGCATTTTTTATTTTTCATTACAATGATTGTTTTTCTACCCTGCCTTGATACTTTCGACATTTCCGTTGCATTCTGTTGCTAAATGACACAACAAAATGTTATATTTATTTTCATCCTCTTGAAAAAAAAATTAACACTAAACAAGTCTCGCTTCAGTCGAATATACACAGCAGGACAGAAATGGATAAAACCTTAACCAGATTTCTCTTATATGACACGACATGCAGGCAATTACGCTTTCTCTTCCTGTTATGCGTTTATCTGGGTGGGTGTTCTGTAAGATTTGTCCTTCAAAAAAGCAAAGGTCTTTTTGACCCACACCAGCATTCGTCTGCTCAAAGTGAAAGAAGTTTCTTTTATTTTTACCTTCCTGCACAACCTATCCTTGGGTGCTTTGCCAACTTTGTCCATCAAATATGCAGCAGCTGACACTCTCTTGACCAGGAATGTGCTCCACATTAAAGTAGCAACACCTAATAAATATTCAAATTAAGTTAAATATGGTCATGATGACATCACATTGTGACCAAATATAGGCACATCATGACTATATATGGACATACAGCAGTGTTTTGTCAATGGAAATTTTATAGTGTGGACTCAGCTTGATGTCATTACCATATTTAGGCATGTCATATATATTTGTAATATATAATTCGATAGTCTTGATAGGGCTTTAGTGAAATTTAAATATTCAAATTGTACCTTTATCACTTGTTATTACACAACAAAAAAAATGATTTTGTTGACCAGGCAAAATGGCAACTGAAAATCAGGGTTGATCGGTCAGGATTTTTTTTTTTCAACTTTAGGCCTCGGCCTATATATTGAGGTCATAGCAAACAATTACTCACCTCATGCATTTCGGATGATAAAATCGTAATCGCGGGCTAACATCCACTGTAGTTAAACTATTGAATTACAATTAAAGCTTGGAAAGTGCCTTTTTAACATTTTACATATATTTTGGACTCTCGATTGGAGAAAAACAAAAAGTATTTTTGCAAAGGAAGGCCACCCTAGATTATCAAGATATTGGGTTGGAGAAGCTTGGCCAACACAGTTTTTTTTTTTGGTCTTGCAGATCGTCATTTTTATATGTTTTATTTCAATTTAAAAACTAAACCAATCTCCAGCAAATTCATTATATTCACTTGTTCTTAATACTGTACTATCAATTGCCTAAAGGAAGTAAGCTAGTGATGGTATCACCATGCATAGAAAAATAAAGAGATGTGTTTAGAAAAGATTTCCTGGAAGTGGGTTTTTTCAACTTGAGACCCTGGTAATTTATTTATTTTTTTTTTTTTGTTATTGAATGATTTTAGTCTTAGAACATACAATAACTGCATGCAACTAAATTGGTTGGATGATCCCATTATTTTTTAGGTAAGTTCAAAAAGGAAATTGGCATATTGCTCCTTCCACGTAAGTATTTAATAAATAGACAACATTCTAATATAAAGTAACATACCTTGCCTAAGACTGGCATTCTGTAACATCTTAAGGTGTTCAAGCCCCTGTGCCAGCATATCAGTTGCCTTCAAAAAAAAATTTTTTTTTTAATAGTTTGTGTAACTATTATATATCAAGATAATTTCTGCGCAAATAATCAATACTGACCTCTATATTTAATTTATTAAAAGGAATTCATTAACACAAATATTTATATTAAAATATATTTATTATTATCTTCATATAAATTATATATAAAAAAAATCAAATAAACTACATCTACTCATATACAAAATAATGATATTTAAATGATTTCATTTTAAAATGTATTCATGGCATAATTCATGACAAAATTTTCAATTTCATTCATATTTAAAAGTACTTATTCTTATTCAAATTCACTTTGATAATAATATCAATACATTTATTTTTGCAAATATTCATATTATCTCTACCTCAGGGCTTTTATTCCATTGCACAATATATTCCCAGCAACAGTGTGCCTGAATGGAGTCATGTTCCAAGCTATAGGGCAGCCTTTTCAGCAGATCTGACAACAATTCTATTAAAAATAAAAACATTAATCAGACAGCTTCAATGTGATGTCGACGATCTGCATGAAAGTAAAGCCTGGTTTCCATAAAATTGCTACATGCTATAGCTGACAGCTGTTGGCAATGCTGATTGGTCAGTTGAATTGATGGCCTTCTTGATTGTGTTGGGATCAGCCAGGCAGTGCAACTTTTGCAGTAAAAACTCTAGCGCCAGTGTAACGATTTTATGGAACTACACTTATGACCTATGACCTGAATTACAATAACAGGTTTAACTTATCAATATTCTTTTGATCATCAATGTTCTTGATGATGACTTATCAAACAAATTATCAGTTGACGAGGCGTGGATAAAATAATGAAAATGCAGATGCAAAAAATCACACAGGAAACAACTATATGCATTTATACTACTGACATGCAGTTTTAATCATATCACTAGAATATAGGCATATCTTATCAATATAAAAATTGACATACTTTGAAGGTGGCGTTTGCCTTCATCGTCTGCCTCTGTGTCCATGGTAACCATTTCTGTATCACTAACATTACTCATTGATCTCTGAACCAAACTGCAATTGGATAAAAATGATGGAGATACACTGTACTTCACCACCCACTTGCCTAGCAGCTCCGCAAAGATATCTGCCACAAAGAAAAGTAACAATAGTAATTGTTAGTACTGTGAATAAACAAGTGTTTAGTATCATTACCTTAAAATGGTCATCCCCACAAGTTGAAATGACAATTTGCCCTCCCTGACCCTCTACTGGCACCACCACTGTATTTACAACTAGCTGACAGGATAAAATAACCTTAAAATCTAGGGATGTTGACAATTTAGCAGGATTATTGGGGCTCACACAAAATGCGATTATATGACTACCACTTTAGTGTTGATTATAAACACAACAACTGATGTTCATTTATGCTACCAAGGCAAAAAAAAAAGTTAAATCAGAAGAGGAAAGTGAGTAAGTGTTATCTTTGCTAGGGACATAAATAATTAAAAATATAAGACATGAATGAAAAGTTACCTCGGCCCCCATCAAGCAATGTTTTGAGGGTGATATCGGTCAATGGCGTTTGTGTTCCAACTCCAAAATCCTGGCTTGCTGTCCAAGCAACTGTGTCACCTTTCTCCATGGGTGTAACAATATCCTAAAAAGAAGGAAATTTATGACATTCAATGCGAAGGTAGCTAGCAATGACTAAAATGGTGATTGTCACTGTGTGTAGGTTATTTCTCCATAAACATAGACATCTGCATAATTGTGCAGTAACACTTACACTTACAGTTTTTTTCATTTTGGCATCATTCCTGCAGATGCAAACACCACTACCAACCATCATCACTACCACCATTTCTCATGCTCCCATTCCTGAAGTAGTCACCCCTACTGTCTACCACTACCATCATTATCACATCATCATCATCATCATCATCAATAATATAAACTACAACACCTTGGTTGGCTTGGTGTTCAGAAGACAGCATAAGGACGTTACATCATGTAGCTGGTTTACAATTGTTCGCCAGGCCTCAGACGTGCCAAGAATATTCACCCAGTCGTGGCCTAGCTCTGGGGTCCTCACAGAGGCTGATTGGTCAGAGGTAGCCTCTGTAACATCAGTCTCCATCTGCTAGTAAAATACATTAATAATATTTTTAAAATGATCTGAAAGAGTTTTTCTGCCCATTTATTGCATCATTAAGTAACAAGTAAATCCTTTGGGAACCACTAGGGATCATAAGGCTGGAGCTTATCTCCAGTTTCTGTAGCATGAAGCAGAGGAGAATGGGATATGCCCCTGGATGGGATACAAGTTCATCAAAGTTACTCCAAGAAATTTGTTAGTACAGGTATAGCTGGGTGGACTGAAGGTAAAGTGACTTGATAAAAGACATAAGGAAAATGAACAGCAGGGGATTGAAAACCATATACCATATTTACCAACCGTCTCGCATTGTTCAACGGTTTAAAGTAATTTTGGATGAAACACACATTTTGCAGAAACACATGCTTGAGCATAAGTTTGTTACGCATTTAGTAAAAGTCCATGCGTGTTAACGAATTACCTCGAATTTAGGGGAAAATGTATTTAAAATTAGAAAAAATTGGTTTTATTAAAAATCTAAAAACAGTCATGCAGTAACTTGAGTCATTAGAATTCTTTCGTTATCTCGTTTGAGAATCAATTCACCAAGAAAATATCTCTTTCTCGACCAAAACAATCCAGCCAACCATGCATTTAGTAGAATCTAGGAGGCGTGTGCAGTCTTGCAGGTTCATTGTTACAATCCACAGTTGATTATGTGACTGAAACCCAGACCAGACCCAGACCGGTACTCTGCCCCTGGACCCCGGGGGTGTCAAGTGGCCCTCGGGTACCCAGACAACTGGTGTATAGTCACGCATTCCAAATTTCTCAGTTAGGTAACTATGGTATACAAACACAATTTGGTAAAAATTCAATAGATCATTTTAATGATGATTCACTGCCACCAACTATCAACAGACAGTTTTTTTCGCCAACCTGTTAGTGGAGGTTTTTATCTTTGTTGGTTGAGAATTAAATAAATTAAAAAAAAAAAAAAGTGTTGCATGGACAACCCTCACGGGGGGTGGAGATGGATTTGTCAGCCATACAAAAATCATAAAATTTAGCGTGTGACTGGCTTAATTGAGCCAGTACATGGGACTGGAACACAAACATTTTAACAACCAATCTCCACTTCATAATGGATAATTACCTGATCAGTAGAGGTGGTAGCCTGCGACGACACACCAAGAACTGACTTAATAACCATAGCAACAACCAAGGCAGCTCCAACTTGCTTCGTGTTCAACACAATGTCTTGCAGCTCAATCCAGGAACTGAAGTCGTCTCTCTTGGATTTCTTAGCAGCTTCGCTGAACAGCGTTAAGAACCGGTGTAGGTGACAAAAGGATTCACAGTTTCTTAGCAACTTTTCTTCATACCCAAGCCATGTCTTCACTAAGAGAACCTGTTTAAAAAAAACAAGACTTCATGGAATATTTCAATGATAAAATAGATAATGCTTAGTCATATATCGTATTCATTAAAATAAACGCCCCTGGGCATTTATTGTTGAGAAGGGTTTCTGAGGGGGCATATATTCAAGGGAGGCATTTATTAGAGGGAGGCGTTTATTTTCTTTTTTCTTTTTTTGTAAAATGGATATGTATACAGTATAAAATGGATATGTATACAGTATACCAAACGTCCCTTAATTTCACTGTAAATGTGGAACTACAACACATCATGCATCATCATTAAAGACTAATTGATCCCAACCAGGTTAGAAAAAATGCAGCTCTACTAGAGTTTTGTTTACAGTCATTTAGTGGGCGTTTATTCGAGGAAAGAATAAATGCCCTGGGGAGTTTATTCGAGGAGAAAATTTATTCCAGAGGCATGCTTAGTTTTAAAGTAGGATTAGTTTTTTTTAAGTATTACTTTCTTTTTAGTATGTTTTTTTCATGTTTATGTTAAATGCATAGAGGTCTCAATAATATGCGCTCAATAAGTCTACTATTATTATTATTATTTATTATTCGAGGGAGGCATTTATTCCAAATAAAAATAAAATACATATAAATAAAATAAAGATATATATATCAAACATTTCTTTGCAGGAATTCACTCGGTATAGTATGACGAATATGCCAAGTCAATATTAAAAAAGCTTCTCAGTATGACTAGATATATCTATATTTAGTTGTGATCCAATAACTAGACAATTAGCCTATGTTATTCTCATGGCAATATTACTAATACACTATGCAGCATACATTCGCTGTTAATGTTGCTGTAGTGTTATTGATACAAATATCCACGACCCATCTACAATACATAATGCATCAACAGTGCTGCTAAGTTAATGCCACTCATACTGTACCCTCTGCCATTATATGCTATGTTTAGAATTATCCAACACCCTTCAACTAAATAAAATGCCAAACACACCCTCGGGTAATTGATACAACCACCCACATATAAACAAATAATGCAAAAATGCTGTTACAGCAAAGCAACACAAACCCAATGCTAATGCAATAACTATGTAGCTGTCAAAATGTCACATTGATGGCAATGTCACTCAAAATGTTATTATAAATGTTATTGCTTTTATTAATGACTAACATATCTAAAGTGCTAACAAAATATAGAAAAAAAGTAAAGCATTGTCCAACTGTGCAACTGGAATGCAGTTCCAATTGCTGAACATCAGTTTCATGGGACTCTCATCATATTATAATATCATATTGATATTGAAACATCATAACTTTACTTGTTCTGATATAAGATACTCCAGAGGGACATCACAGGAATTTAGAAGTCTAGACATTTTGATGTCACCACTTTATGTTTTAAATCATTCAACAACTAAACAGTCAAACTGGCTACTATCAGACCTCAGAGCCCAAAAAATCAATATGACCTTTCTGTGATTTTATGACTATGCTAAATATTCACATTTAGAAGTGGTTGGCGCATCGATTGTGGCTTGGACTCCCAACCTTAAGGTCAGGGGTTTGAAACTCTCACTGTGCAAGTCGCTTGTGTCCTTGGGCAAGGCACTTTATCTACCTTTGTCTCTCTCTACCCAGGAGTATAAATGGTACCTGGTAGGATGTTGTGGCATTGAATTTTCTAGTTCTAATGATACTCCCCAAGGAGCAGATAAAGTTGCACTTTGTGCTGGTTTGCCATTGTACGTTATCCAGTGACCAGGGGTAATAACGCTCGCGCCTTTGATCATTCAATTTGGAATTGGCGCCTCATAAATTTTTCAGCATTATTATTATTATAATATATGAGAATATTGAACTATGTACTCATTCTCAATAGGATGGAGACTTTTACTTGACAGTAAGAGCAAATGAATAGACTCTGAAAAAAATAACTTAAATTACTAAACAATAATACAGTAATAACAATAATTAAAAAAAGGTGATGATAAAAATAAGAATGATATGCCATCACAGTATGGTTATGACAGTGACAAATAGAATTTAAAAACAATAACTTTAAAATATATGTTAAACCCACAAACAAAAAGCAATAAAAAAGTTACGATTACTTTAAAAATGAAAAAAAATGTTAAAGCATATTGTTACTTAGTAAGTTTATAATTTGATGATACAATATAAGGAGTCAAAACATTCACCAAGTGCTGGGGGTAAGTAAGAATCTCCCAGATTATTACCACAAATAGAACTTTATAATAGTATATTTTTCAAGGGTAGAATGGCTGCAAAAAATAAGAGACAATAAATACAATTTATGATTTGGTTTTGCAAAATACAAATAAATAAAATGAAAAAGGTATTTATATGCAGATTGAAAATGTAGAGAATAGAAAAAAAGCAGATTATGTAGAAGAAAGCAGATATGTAAAAGAAAGCATGTAAAAATGTAACTGCAATATTTTTTTATTCTCATAGCAAAAAGAATGTTGGGGTAAAAATTCAAAGATTAACACATTTTATGAGGACTGAAGCACTTAGGAATAAAATTTACAAAATAAATACTGTATAAATTGCAAACACAAACAACTTGCCTTCATCAAATCCTTTTGTAAAAAGATTATGAAAACAATTAAGAATGAAATGAAAATTGTCTTGAATATGAAAATTATTTACAGAATACTTCATTTGTTTTTATATTATCTGAATGATATTACAAAAAAAAGAAACATAAATATATGTCACAATATTAATTAATGTTCTTGCACAATAATAATACCTTGCATCTTTTAATCAATACTGGATTTAGAGCAAACATAAAAGATTAAATACAGTAACATCTCCCAATTAATGAACTTTCCAATTACAACTCAATTTGTGGCAATGACGTCATTACAGACACTCTTAAAAACTGTATTTAGAAATCTTCAAAATAATATGAAATATTATAACAGCCAAGAATGACAATGTTTAAACCCATAAATTCAAATAAAACTTCCTTTAAAGCAAGAAATATAAACTGTTATATTTGTGACAAAATTTTGCTCATATGGCAAGGCTTAATCCTACATATCCCTGTATATTATGTAGCTTTAGGCCCAGGGCTACTCTCACTACTGAGATGCTATAAAAATTCAAACTTTGAATCACAAATTTTCTCAATTAAAAACTCTGTTCAGTCAGAGGGTTATGTAATTAGGAGATGTTACTGAATGAAATTAAATGATTATAAAATAGGATATGATTAAAAGATATGAAATACATTGTTAAAAAAACAATGCTTTACTTGCAGTTAGTACAGGTACCATGGATGATTCACACCTTAGATGACTTGTCCTAAAGGATGTGTCACTCAAGATGAAAAACTCCCCCTTGCTTGACAACACAATTGTTTCATCAGCATAGAGTGAATATTAAAGCCTATGGGACAAAATGGCCAAAAAAAAATGTGGATTTTCATGTACTCACCAGGAAGTCCTGAATTGGAATGCTGAGTTGTTCAATGATTGGAAACAGATCTTGCACAGCACTCTCACCAGTTAAACAAGCTCTAAATAGAAAAGCACCTGAAACAAAATATTCCAATTAATATGATTTGATGATCTTAATTAATATTAAATACTTTCTCTGAAAATAGGAACTGATACAAATATGTTGATAAAATTTCATCGGTTTTCACATTTACTATAGAAGAACGGGTGCTATGAAAATAAAACAATACCAATAGCAAAAGTATGCACCTTGGTGTAGGGATGTTGTAACTGTATTAAGGGGTAGAGACGTTACTTCAAAGTTCAACCTCACCTAATTGTGTTTGGACTTCATCACTGAGATTCTGTTTAATCTTGATCACTGCCTGAGGCTGGTTGTCCATCGTTGTGTCCACATCTTTCTCATCCTGGATTTCCAAACGATGTTCAACTTTAACCTCAAAACACTGCAGAAATTGAGAGGTATCCATAAACTGGGGTTTGTCTTCAAAATGCACTTTTGATTGGTAGCGAGCCTTGAGGTAATTGTCAATCTGTTCTTGAAATTGCTTGATTTCTATGGCATCAATTGCCAATGTTTCTGCAAGAGTCTAAAGAAAAAAAAAACATAGCTGATGTGGTCAGTTTCTAGCTCCAATCTCCAATGGGGAGCTCTAGAAACACTCAGCTGATTGATAGTTTTTTTTTTTTTGTATTGGTGGCCGTAAGGGCCAATATATTTTACTAGTACTACCTCTATTATACTGCCCTCATCAGAGCTTTCGAGATCATGAGAACTTGTTTTATTTCAATTCTTATATATCGTATGTAAATTAAATTTACGTAAACTTCTTAAAGACTTTCAGCTAGATTTCAGCATCAAGAAGTCTCATTTAATATTCTGTTTCAGATGCCTATATTTGTTTTAAATACGTAAATTACACACATCAAAACAGCATATTTTATATGTGGATGATTTAAATATCTTTTGGATTATCATCTCATCATCATATTATTATCTGCACCCAAATTACTGCAGATACGATGTTATGTGAAAAAATTTTGCATAAATTTTTAAACGATAATTTCCTTCATTATCAATATATCTGCAACATCATCCTCATCACTTTTCTTTCATAAGTACCTCTCATAATCTCTTAAGATTCTGTGTGTGAAAGATTGGAACTCAGTTCTGTTCAACACCTTAATTTAAATATAACCATCTTGTTTATGTCTGAAAATATAACTACTAAAAAAGTTCACTACCTCCACACTGCCTTCATCCATCCTCTCTTCCATGTCAACACTGTTGATTTTTAAGATGCCATTGTAAGATTTTAGAAGACATTTCTGAGCCTGGCAAAACTGGAGTAAGCATTGACTTTCATAATCCAATGAGTTGGGTTCTTGTGATCTTAACTGTGCTGCCAGTGATTCCATGGCATACAGCTGAACCATAGATGGCACATTTCTTGTAGCTAAGATTTTGTTCAATCCCTGAAAAAATGTGTATAATACAGCCATTATCAATTTTAACTAAAATTTAAGTATTATTTGGTAATATTTGATATTTACATATACATTTGATTGATGTGATTGGTTAAAGCATGGTTAACATTTCCACAATATAGTCAGATATTCTCAACACACTACTGTACAAGTCAGATGGTGTACATTAACTTATTCCTGAAGAAATATAGAGTCTTAACCTGTTGCTTATATGATGCAATCTTAATATCCAGTAGAACAGGAGTTATTGCTTGTTCCAAAGGTTCTGTTGAAATAAAAACAGAATTACACAAATATTGTTGAATAATTGCCTGGGTTAACTTTTGTTTAACTGTTAAATATATTTATATTTCAAAGATTTTTACTCTATTCCGAACATCACATTTTTCATCATCATTTTGAAGCACCCACCATCATTTTGCATATTAGACCATCAACTTAACATTCTAAACAAATGATATTATAATTAGACTAAAGCACCTAATGTTGCAAGTAAAGATAAGAATATCATCATGTTTCAAGCCAGAAATATAAAAAAAAAAATACAGTTAAGCATCATATTCCTGACAATGCAGTTTTTTAACTAGTATATTTTTGTAATTATTTTGTACTTCGCCCTACCTTTGAGATTATTTCTGTTATGCAGCAAACTCGAGAGTTTCTTTACAAGATGCATATCTCTGGCTTTCTTGCTGTTCTTATCACTAAGGGCTAAATGAAACGGCACATAGATTGTCCTGATCAACCCACTAGGCTCCATCAAGACACACTGAAGCTGCTTATACATTCGCCTGGAATCTTGCACTGATAAATGACTATATCCTAAAATACCATGGCCTGGGGCAAGAAGTCTAACAAAAATAAAGTAAAAAATTGTTTTATGAATAAGTGAAGCATAAATCAATAAAAACAATTATATCAATCACACAATAAGTGACATATTCTGTATCATGTTATTGTAAACCAGATGATGTATTAACCACAGAAGAAGATTAATATGAAAACTCTGCATCTACAGTACATCGGTATTAATATAAAATTTTATCAGTTTCATACCAAAGTGTCCAAAAAAAGCTGAGAAAATCATTAAAGAAAAATATATTTTATATAATATAAAAACAAATTATTATTATTATTTGGTGAAAGGCTGTAGCAAATTGATGGTAGCCATATGCTTGCTTAACTCGAACCTTTCATAGATTTTGAATAGGAGTTATTCCTTATGAGGGCAGTATGAAAATAATGTGGTTCAGCCCCTACTGATATTAAGCCAAAATTCTGTAAGGACTTACTTACTGTACTGTAGTCAAAAGAAATAAAGAAAATTTCTCACACCTACCTGCATGATTTAGGCACGTTAAAAGCAGCAACTCTAGGACCTTGCTGGGTGTTCCAGACCTCCAAGATCCCTCGCCGTGGAGCATAGATGACCAAGAATAAGGCTAGCCTAGGAAATGTAGCAGTTCTACTTCTCTTTGGACTTTTAACCTGCTCCGATTTCTCCTTGTGTATGTCCTCTTTGACTTGAATCCAGCCACACTGGGCATCACGATACCCTTCAACAACATAAATAAAATTAACCCAACAAAATAATGGTTGAATTCAAAAATGTTGAATACAGATCAAAGATCTTATAAAGACAAGATAGTGTTCTCCGCGATTTACGTGTAACAAATAGAAGCGTCGGTCAAGGTTCAAAAGTTTCCCATTTAGCAAGAGGGCGCCATTCATGCGCTATTACCGAAGAGAAAAAGTAATCAGTTTTGGAAGAGGGCGTCCTATCTGTTGCCATGGAGATGATGATATATCTTTTACACAACAGATACTATCTAATATATGACATCTTACTAACTACATATTAGTTACACGGTAGTAAATTTACCTAGCAGCAGAAATAAGGGCTGATTTCAACTTGCTGGCTACTGCAAATGCAACATCTGACATTAGAGGCTGTGTACTACCCTAAAAATATAAGATATATTATTAAACACCTGCACTCATGTGCCAAATGCTATGAACTGGAGATGGGTACTCTGATTGGTATAAAGATATTTACCAATACTGTAGATAACCAATCAGTTAAAGAACAAACCAATGGTTCTAATAAACATGAAATGAGAAAAGATGCATATTACAAAATATTAGTCTAACCTCAACAGCATCAAAAACACCAACAAATGGACTTGATCCAACCGACAGGTATCTTGAACAGATGGGTGCATTGGACTTAATAGCCGCTGAATAGCCTCCCAGAATTGATGCTGTGTGTAGCTGATCAAAAGCACATGGAGTTATCACACCTGTTCAAGAAATAATTTTAAAAAGAAATTCATATAGAAAAATGAAAATCAATGTGAATTATAATTGTACTACTGTAAACCATTGTATTAACCACTGATATAATTACATCACATTTTAAATTCCATTCAATTCAATTGATGCTCTTTGTTCGGTATAATTGGTTAGTCTTCGTGATTACGACGGGGACTGTTGCGAAGTATAAAAATTGCACTGAAAACACTGTAGTGACAGTGTAGCGAATGCATGGAAACCAAGTTTTAAAGATAGTACTGTAGTGTATCTAGGGGTGCTTTTTCACCCAGTTGCTTCTCCCCCACCCCCACAATTGAAAATGTTTGAAGCAAAAAAATCAAGCTTAAAATAGTTAAAAATCACCTCAAATCACTTTATTTTCCAAGTTAGTACCCCTCACCTAATCATTGAACCCCAAACTTCACCTTTGCACCCCATCCCCATATCAAGACTCATACATAGACCACTGCTTAACACAGAAAATTCCGTAAAAAAACCTGAAACATGGAGATCTCCATGTTTGGCGGTCAAGCGTTGGGTTACTAAACATGGAGATCTCCGTGTTTGGCGGGCAGAGTGTTAACACAGAAAACACTGTTTGTCAATCTGTTCTAGACAGATAACAGAGTAATTTGAGACAAGACACTTAAGTTTAAAAATACGAAACCAATAATTAGCAATGAACAGTATTCTCAAAACCAGTACACCACGCTTGAATCACGTAAAGTAAATAAATGAAAGTAAGCACAGACTGATGTGAGTAACTAAGTCAATATGGAGTCACATGGGTAGTCTACTGTGATTAACCAAGGTAATATCAAGTCAAGCTGGTGGCACAATATGAGTAACTAAGTCAATAATGAGTCAGACTCAGTTAAATCATTAAAATATACTGTAAGCTAAACTTTTAATATCATTAATGAATCTAATTAATGTCTCGTTTTAAGGTTGGATAGAATTAAAGCTGCAGGTTGTTGATTAATTTACTCGTCCTGTAATCCGAAGGTAATTGGTTCAATCCTGCAAGAAGAACTATGATATTTTTTTAATTATTTATTTTTAGGGCTAAGAGAGAATTTACTTCAATAGTCCCTAATAGCACTGGTGATATTAATTGTTTAATCTTACCACAACTCACTTGATCTTCTATTACATCTTGGTTCTGTAACCCCCATTTCTTGTAGGCTAATGGAGGTGGTTGAATAGCATCAGTTCCACTGGCATGTGCTAAAAAAAAACCAAAATGCTTATTCTTTAAATACACAGTAGCCAATGCTTAACATTTATATACAAGTAGGACCCACTTATAATGTTACAATCAACTTATAATGGGTGAAAAGCTAAAGCTTGGTGATAGGAACTCGCCTTATAATCCCAGAGTACTGAGTTTGAATTCAAGTGAATTCTCTAACAAAAAATTAAAAAAAAAACCTGTTTTTTAAATATATTTTATAATGTACCATATATGAATATTTTTAAAATCAGCATCTGACAATATTCAAGAATTTAATGATATACTATCAATGTTAAACTAAGAAACATAAATCTTATAAATAATTATTATATTTTCAAATTATAGACGGGCCGTAAATAATATTGTTCCTACACTTTTTGTGTAGTTTGAAATTGGCTAGTAATAAATTTCAGAATTTGCATATTAAGAACTACATAAATCAGCTAAAAACTTAAATATTTCATGTCTCATGGTAAATTTCAAACATTAACAAAGAAACATAAAACTGAATGACATTAAAAAATGTGGAGAGTAACAGTTTAAAATGAATATATAAGATCTGCTTATTCAGTACCTCTTGCTAACTGGTTGCGACAAGCTCGAAGGGATTGAAACAAGCTGAATCCATCCACCAGTACTAATGAGGTCGGAAACAAAATGGAAAGCTCTTCCGGTTGTTCTGCAATTCCGGGGTAACGAGGTGCATCATGTGTCCGACACTTGAGCTTCAAGACAGGATCCTCGTGGAGCAACTGTGAGAGCAAGAGGGCACCATTCTCGGTATACATTCTAACATAACCAGTAGTAAATCCGACTATAACACACGTCCAGTCAGGCATGCCCTGGGAACTGCGTTGCTGGGATGCTAACGGTATGCACATAACTGTTGTAATACACTCCCTGCAATGTTTAGAGAATACAATACGTAAAACCTCAAATGAAGCCCTGGCCTTCTTTTTTTTTGTAGACTTTGGATGGGCTTCTTTTCGAAGCTACTATTGCAAAGTAAAGAGGGGGCTTCTTTTCAAAATGAATGCTGTAAATTTTTGTGAATTTGTACTATAAAACAATAAATAAGGCCACTGTTACATCAATCTGTATCATGGAATATATTTAACTCACATTAAATCACCTAATCTACTGTATAAACCAAGCTTGTTTTTAATTTATTTTGTTTTTTGAAATTCATGTACAGTGTATGTACTGTACTATCTCGAAAAGAATCCTATGCTATGTTGAAAGGAAGCCCATGGGCTTCTTTTTGAGGCTAATTTTGCAAATATAAAAAGGGGGCTTCAAATCGAGATGGGCTTCATCTCGAGGTTAAGCCCACTGGGCTTAAATTTGAGGTTTTACAGTACTGTTAAAAACAGCATTAATACCACAATACTGAGAATGTATTTCTCGTTTATATTGTTTAGATTTAATTTTTCTAATTTACATCTTATCGAATGTTGTTTTGTTTATGGCATCCCTGCTACAAGCAATGTTGCTTTTTAGGTGATGCCACCTGTTTCTTGTATTTTGTTGAAAACGAAATGGAAATAAATGTTATTGTATCTTGAAAATTATCTCCAATTATATAGTTTTATGCTCCATTATTTTTTTCTTTTGATTATTATGCTGTCCTTCAAATGTTTTCCTTTCTGGGATTTACTCAGGAAGTATTAAATAAATATAAATATATATATATATATATTATTGTTTATATTCATATATATAATATTATAATGTATTACACTAAAAATGATGAAGAGAAAAAAATTTTATCATTTGTCATATTAGAATGGGATCTTCTGTGCTCAACAGAAAATCTGTTAAGTACTTTTCGTATTCAGTTGGTTAAACAACACTAAATTTTGTATTTAACGTTCAAAATACTTTGTTGAGTTTGTACTTATCATGGCTAACATACTCAACGGTTAAATCCCAAACAAATAAATCAATTGATTGATTGATTGATTGCTTGCTTGATTGACTGATCGTGTTATACTGTTTAAATGAAAATGTCATACCCTTCTTCTTGGATGAGGGTCCCTTTAAATATGACGTGGTACCTGCAACCAGCGCCCTCTGTTTCATCTGGATCCCATTTTTCTGAGGAAAAATTCAAATGTAATGTTATTTATAATTTATATAATTATAATTATAATTATAATTATTATTATTATTATTATTATTATTATGTATAGTTACTGATATTGGAAGAGAGGTTTTAACTAATAACTAATTTAAGATTTGCCAAAGGTTGACCTATTTTTTACAAGATGACTGAAAACATAATTGGTACTCATATGATTATAGGATGTCAACTTACGCTGCAGAAAGATTGCTTTTTCTTCATAGGCTATAGCCAACAAATCATTGGCTGGAGAAAGGGATACACAGCAGTCTTGTAACCAATCATCCTTAGTTATACTCCCCTCCTTATTATTTCCTGCATCCTCCTGAAAAAAAAAAAAAAAAAAAACATTTCTCCAATGCTTTCTTTCTTTCTTTACACTGATACAAGTATATAATTACAGTAACGCATAGAGACCTATGTATTATGCGCTTTTTCTTCTTTTTATTATTATTATTTTTATTATTGTATACTCTCTATGTGCAAAATATGGAAACATATAGAACAGAATTAGATTAGAATAAGAAATAACAGGAAGAAGACTCAAGAAAACCTGAAAACATTTTTATTGAAACACTACATAAATAATGATGACAATATCAAATAATAAATGATGGTGGTTAATAATGTGTTATATTAATAATTAATATTATATAAAATATAATTAAAGTAATAAAAAACCAGATGATATGAAAATATTTAATAATGATAGACAAAATAAAACTTTACCATTTAAGTATTACACATTGAATGATGTTTACTACAGTCCTAAGCTTTTCAGCATTAATAATACTAGGCCAAGGTCGGAATGAAGTGAGGAATGTAAAACCATGGTCCATGGACCTATAATTAATATGGCCTATCCTATATAGGCTGGACTGAAATACAACTTCATACCTGTTTAGCTTCATTTGTGTCATCATTCCCATCCTCATTCCAAGTCCAATCATCTTCCCAGTCCCCTGTCAGTCAGTGAAAATGTACATTTAACATTTGTCAACAATTACATTGCAACAATACTGAATAATTATAAAACTGTAGCCCTAGCTATAGCAAGAGGCAACTGATTTGTACTTGTGACCTATTTTAACAGTATCAGTCGATAAATTATAGTACGGTATGGTTTATACAGGGAGACTACCATGGCTAACTAGGCTAGGCCTGGACTAGGCTAAGCCTAGTAGAGGTTATTACAAATGCTGACAGAGCTAGCCCTATAATCCTAAAGGCTGGATCATCAGCGGGGCCTTGCCCTGGGCCTAGCTAAGAACATCGCATTGTAAACTTTACCGATTGCATTCGTGGACGTAGGTTCCAAATGAGAATCTGAGTTAGCCGGACTGTTTAATAGAAATGATCGTACTGTCGAAATGTCTTGAAACTGTCCTAATTTATTTAAAACACATGACATTTTATAGTTTAATTACGTCGAATATGTTGAAGTTGGTCGAATTTTGTTTACGTATTGCATACTCCGATTGGATCTGCTGCAGATCAGTGAATCTCTTATATATTGCTTCTCATTGGTTGATCATCATTGCACTTGTTCCCACAGCGGCTACGAAGTAATGCTCTTAAATTTACTACCACGCATCTTTCGCTCGGGAACCCCTGGGGAACCCTCGGAAACTTTTCCCCCTATTACAGATTACTGTAAGATCATGTTGTTGAATGCTATTATTCAAGAGATAAAATAACATTTTGAAAACTGATTTACAGACGTTTTCTATACGAAAATCCATACATTTCCTGCCAGAACTTTAGGCCTACATTCAAAGAATGTGGGGAAAAGATGCTATGGGGAAAGATATTTCTCATTCTGATTTTATATAAAAACTTATAACTTAATATTGAAATTAGCAATTCAAATATTAATTGTATTTTTCAAGTTACTTTATGGTCTTTATGCACAATGCAGGCCCGGATCTGAGGGGCCACAACTTTTAAAATTTCAATATCAATGACGGTATTGAAATAAACGCACTCTCACTTCCTATTCTAAAATGTTGTGCTCCTCCCACCCCCTCCGCCGTTTTGAATAATTCTGGATCCGCCCCTGCAAGGAACCCTTTTCTCTGGCCTTCCTTTGAATATTGTTGCTACTGGTTTCAACAAGAGCTGGAACAAATAGAATATTAGGCCCTATACATATGTCTCGGAAAGACAGCTCGTAACCGTACGTAAACGTGAGTGTTGTGTGACATCATAGAGAAAATTTTCTCTATGGTGACATGCTCGTATCCTGTCATTAAATTTTGAGTGACACTCACTCCGGAAGGGCCTATTGACTATTAGGGAGCTTTTGATTTGTGCGACGACGCGACGCTAGAACGGAATCACTCTGACCGTCCTACATGGCGTCCTACGTTCTCTGCAAACGTAGGTTTGGCCAAATATGCGTTCCAGAATCTCGACGAGGTGACGTCCGCCTTAACGTTCTCGCAGATTACTTTTAGTTACGTCATTACGTTCTACGTCCTACCGTCGTGCAATCGAAAGCTCCCTATTATGGGATAAGTGACGGACGACGGTGGGAAAGTCTATGACGATCGGCTCGTATCGTTTGCAGAGAAAGACAATCATGACAATTATTATTAAAAAGACTGATTATATTAAATGTTTCTATATTTCGTATCAAAATTATTTCGTCAAACTCATTTCAAATTTTATGTAGTTTTGTACTCAGAAACATCTTCTTGTGCGTTTATCAAGTATTCCTATGTTTTTTTGATGAATAATAAAAGAATATTGTATATTGTATTGTCTTTTGGACCAGAAAGCAAAAGCATTTTCAACTTATTGAAAAGGAGATCATAATAACAATTTAAAGAATATATGACAGTGAAGACTTATTAACGTCGCATCCAAAAGTAAGTCACGAACCCAACCGGATTTCACATTAGAGGTACTCACACTTTAGTAAAGTAAATTATTGCTATTAAATTAATTAACTTCGATGTATATGAAGAACATGTCCTGAGTGGATTTCATTTGAATCCTGAAAGAGTACATGATCAAATTAAAACAATGAAGCGCACCGGTACCGTATATATGCCAGGCCATTTTTGAAATAATCTATAATACCACGCGGTTCTAAAATTCAAATGAAAAAAATTTCTTTGCACGTCTGTATAAGCCTATTCAGCTGCAAAAATCATGTTAGGTTAATGTTATTCCGTATTCATTAATGATGAATTACACGTAAGTATAAAAAATTACATTACATTAAATTACATTAAATGGTGCATAGATGAATATGCCTGGTCTAACGTCATCTAAAGTTAGGCCTATTTGAGGGTATGAACATGCTCTCACATGCTGTTTTGATTTATAGAGGCTTTTTACGGAAATCCTTATTGATTAACACTAGCCAATGCAGAATCGTGCAAGGAACTGCATTATTTAATGCATCTGTTAATTGGTATTTTTTTTTTCGATTTTAATTGAAAATAATAACTTATTTCACATGAAATTATGCCTGATTGTGGTTTATAATATATTATCCTAAAAATAAGGTAAAAGTGTTATATGTGTTGAATATATCGTGATGGAACGACTGATTGCTTAGTTATGATGAACAGTCGTATTGTAAAAAAATAAAAGAAAGTTAGTATAGTAAGTCAGCGAAAAACGGTACCGGTACCAATAGAAGACTCACGGGGTCGGTTGTGGGAAGGCGGCCTCTTTGAACCTAATGATGCGTTTTAAGTAATAATAAAATAAGACAATAATAAATGATATTAATGTATAATTAGAAACCAACATAAATTTTCTCTAAGGCGTTGCATTAAATCATTGTTACTTTTTTTATTTTAACATACTAGGCCGGTATCGGATAAGTTTATATCGTCATGCATAATATCGCCTTCATCATTATAGTTCTATTTTTGATTGATTATTGTTTTTATATATCATCAGTGATCCAAGCCTCCTCTAACCAAGGGGTAGGGGTTCTATGGCTCACCGAATCGGTGGGTGGGGTGGCACCTCTCTCCTGGAATGCTTTTAAAATGATCTTGAAATTCACGACTTTAATACCCAAGAAGACAGTTTCACTCATTTTTAAAAAATGTGATTACGGAGCTTAATGGCATCGAATCATTGATGACGCGAATCATTTTATTTATCGTCCTGCCTGTATAGCCTATCACCATATGGCTATTTTCGTTTTTGATTTATATCTTGTTTATAATTCAGTGACAGTGTAGGCCACTGGGAAGCAGTGGCGGATCTAGGAATTCGAAATAGAGGTGGCCCGGGAAAGGCTATACCATGTCCTCAGCCCCCACCATGGTTGGGGTGCTGAGGTAAGAAAATAGCCAACCCCGATCCCCCTTATACCACAAGTGAAAGGGATGAAAGTGATGAAACCGAAATTATGCCTAAATTATGCAGAAATTTATCATCAGTCTAGAAGAATCATGGACCTATTAATAGGTTGATGAAGGAATTCGACCCCTATCCGGAGCTCTTCCCCAGTCCCACAAGGGGAATTTCCTCTACACCCTGGCTTTTTATTAGACAGGCCTAGGCCTATACCATGATATTTAAAATGTTATGAATAGACTTTCAATATGAATGGAGTACTGTAAAACCTCTTAATATTATCATTAATGTGTCAGCTTAAACACTAAATTTAAATTTTTAATGCCATTCATCAATCATACCGGAAATGTAATTAATAATTGTAATGGACTTTTTTCCTTTCCCTTCTGTTGGCATATTGATCGTTTTTAATTGCATCTCGTTGCTCTTGAATCACACGACGAATAGGCCACTATACTTTGTGTTTATCCAATGAGTTACATATTGTTGTATATATGTACATTAATATAATTAATTTAAATATACGCATTTTCGATTATTAGTTCCTCTTTCAATTTACATATTTGATCATTTTGCTCCACTATGTTACGATATTCTGAAAAGTAGGCTGAACATAAATCACTGAAGCGTGTCATTAGCTAACTACACGCTGGGTCATAGTTCACGCTAAAAAAAGACGATCCTTCTCAACAACCTGTCTGCAGTCTGATGGTTGTTTACTTTTACGGTGTTCTCTTACTTATTCGGAGGACTGAGTTATTCTTATATATAGTTAAAGGTTAGTTCAGTATTTTATGTGGTTTTTGTACGTCATTTAGTATGTATAAATTGTTTTAGGGCTTAATTATATAGATTAATTAGTCTTAGGTTGAATCAGCCGCCGAAGCTCATCGCTAAGAAAACTGAGCCACCAACCCAAGACATGCATTCTCCGGTGTGTGCCGCACTTCGATGTATGATGAGTCGAGAAATGCATTCATCATAGACTGAGTGTAAGTCAGAAAAAAAAAACCGGGTCCTTAAATTTATCAAGTAAGGAAGATGTAGAGATTTCTGCCGTTCGGTGTGTCCTACAGTAAAATTATTCACATACAATTACAGATCAAATTGAATTGATTGATGTGTTCGGCTGTGTGTTTGTTGTTGTTTTAAGCTTACATGAATAGATAGGCTGGTAGGTACAGTAAGCTGTAAAAATCGAAGTCAGTGAACAGGTATTGCTTGATGTCTACCCATCGAGGTGAGCAACATTGGCTGTTGCGGTTTAAGAATTTTTGTGGCGAATATTCGTAAAAATATATCAACTCAGTGATGCGTGATTCAATGCAAGTTTTCCTTACAAAAATGTCACCAGAGAGACACACCCCTCTTCTCAGTAATAACTAAACCACAATTTTTTACAGAACCAACTATCATAAGTTATAATATATAACAAGATATCGTACTCTGTGGTTTTATGTGTAACAAAACAGAAGCGTCAAATTTACACTACTGTACGATCAATGCACCCTCACAAAAACAATTAACAAACATTGGCATGCCTATACTTTCTTTGTTATAATTTTGACAAACATGGAACACATGTATATTTAGTAGATTTAGTAGACGGCCATTCTACTCAACATAAAAATACCAGAAAGTACTTGTTTTTTTTAGAGGGCGCACTATAAAATAGCGGACTGCGTTGTTACAGAATTTGCACAGAAATTAAAGAGTGTGCTCTCTTGTTAATATAAAATCTTTGCAGTGTACTCTTGTGAATTCTCCACATACCTCTCTCATGGTCTTTCCATCAATGCCTACTGTAACTATAGTGCTTTTTATACCCAACACAGATACATTATTTGAGACTTTTTCCCAGATCTGAACAAGAGTTCCCCAGGCCTGGATCCCACCAGGACTTTTGGCAAGCTTCAGATGCCCAAAATTAAAAGGTTTTTAAAAAACCGAGGGTAAGGAAACGGAATGGTGTACCTTGAAAATTCCCATTTCTGATTGTATTTGTATGCCCTATAGAAAGGATGGTCAATAAACTGTAAAAATGCTGGTGAGTTGCTCTGGCCTTGAAATAATATCCACATATAGCACTGGCAAATTTGTTTGACATTTCTGATTAATAAATTACCACTGAGTAGTATATTGTT